TTCAAATCATTTTTCATTTCCATAGTCTCTGAAGACATTATGTACCTCATATAACCTTGCGTTTGGAGAGAATTGAGGATGCTATCATTCTTCTGACATTACGCAGAGAAACTAAATCGTTTTAGTGAAATCAGTTTTTCTTAAGTTAAAATACCTTCAACCCCAAACACATATGTGTGTGCAGATAAAGAGAAAATATTCCCTAAAGGACTTTACTATAGTTCTCGTATATGAAGAGAGATGAAATCTTATATCATATGACCATATTTTCCAAAGATTCCGTATATTTTGCGGTTTCATTTTTAAATTGTCATCTTAATAAAATGTGCGCAGAGTTTGTCTTTTGTTTTGTTTTTGCTTTTAATTTTCCATGTGGCCATTGCCATTCCAGTCATCTTTGTCATCTTTATTCTTTGCCAGGATATTAATTTTCAGATGGGAAGTAATCCATATTGGCCTGTTAAGCGCCAGGTTATGGCCAAAGCAGAAGAGCAGAATGGAGCAGACAGTGGAGAATATCCAGAGATAGGTCTGGAGTGTCTTGTTCACTGGGTTTTTGGATGCTAGGGGTCAGGGGTGGGTTGCTGCCGGCATTGCTGCTGGTTCATTTCACTCGCATTTCACAAAGTCCCAATTTCCACTAACGGTTCACCCGAACCAGGGCGAACCGGTAGCAACCCACCTCTGCTAGGGGTACCAGTGGGGAGGAGGCAGGTAAGAGGCAAGGCACTTTCTTTTTATGTGTGATGTCTTGTTATTTTTGAACGCCCCCACCCCCTGCAGACATTCTAGCTTCAAATCTTTTTCATTTGATATTTCCTCCATTTTTTTTTATGAGGCCCATACAAAAGTTTAATAAGTTTGGTTTGGGACACTTCAGTTAAAAAAAAAAAAAGCAGTGATCTGAGATATTATCAGGTGAAATAAACAGGGTAATAAAAGTAGATAGGGATGCCTCCCCCCCCCACACTCTTTCATATCACCATAAACCAGGAATTGTCCACTGAAGGTGGCAAGGTACAGATTTAGAACGAAAGAACGAACGAACGAAAGAAAGAAAGAAAGAAAAAAAGAAAGAAAGAAAGAAAGGAGAAAACAAGAAGAAAACAAGTAGGGATGTGTATTGTTGTATTTGGAAATGTTCTGGATTTAAGCATCCTGGATTTCCCTCTATTACTACAACCTTAGAAGCAGCATTAGGTAAAGATTCCCCTTGCACATATGTGCTAGTCGTTCCCGACTCTAGGGGGTGGTGCTTATCTCTGTTTCAAAGCCAAAGAGACAGCACTGTCTGAAGACCTCTCCGTGATCATGTGGCTGGCATGACTGCACACAGAACACTGTTATCTTCCTACCAATGGTGGTTCCTATTTTTTACTTGCATTTTTTACATGCTTTCAAACTGCTAGGTTGGCAGAAGCTGGGACAAGTAATGAGAGCTCACCCTGTTTATGTGGCACTAAGGATTCAAACTATCAAATTGCTGACCTTTCTGATTGACAAGCTCAGCGTCTTAGCACTGAGCTATCGTGTCCCTAATAGCAGCATTAGTATCTGCCAAATCTATATTTTCTAAAATATAGGGGGGAACTTTTTTTTAATGCCAGGTATTTTCATTTGTGAACAGCTTAAAGATGTTTCTCTGTTATTGCTAAGTTGTTGCTGTTGTTATTATGTGGTTAATCTTTGGTGAGATTCACAGCCTTTGGGGCTGGTTGGTAGCTCAACAGCTCGA